ACGGACGGACGGACGGACGGACAGACAGACGGACAGGGCCAAATCGACTCAGCTTATCGCCCCGATCAAGAATATATATACTTTGTGGGGTCTGCCACGCCTCCCTCTGCCTGTTACATACTTTTAACAAAACCATTATACCCTGATTTCCCATTTTCAATGGATTCAGGGTATAAAAAGAAGAAAATATATATATAAATTCAAAATATATTTTGTTACATATATATATTTTATTTTAAATAATCTATTATAATCTGTAAAAACCTTTTTAAAAAGTACTTGAACCTGTATAATAGTTAAATAAATCTCTTCCAATTGGGCAATTTTATTATTTATGAATTCTATTTGTTCTATTTTCGAAACCGACTAGTGAACATCTTCTCTGACTATTCCACATCTTTTATCTGCCTGGCGAATCTTTAATCCATTGACTACTGTAGCTGAGTGCTGATTGGTGGGCTGTTTGTGAACAGGTAGAGCGTTAAGTTTTCGCACACCTGTAAGTTGAAAAACTTGTTTAATGTGCTCGCCCTATGAGAGTGCCAAGAAACGCAGGCGAGGGGCGTGTTCAGAATGACCAATGCACTTGAGTGTCAGCAGAGGCGTTTGCAGCTACCCTCATGATCAGCGGAAGAAAGGTAATTGAACTCCCTTTCGAATTCCCAAAAGGTCCATTTATGAACAACGATCTGTCATTTTATCTCGGCTGATGCATAAATTGATGGCTTTATACACATGAAAAATATATGATGTGATGTTGATTTCGTTTCAAAGAAAATGCGGGATCTTGAAGGCAATTGCTTAAGCTGTTAAGAGACGGGAAAGAGAAATAGGCAGAGAGAGAGCGCGTATTTGATAGAGATAGATAAGATTAAATTCATATTTGTGACATGGCCTTGACATTCCGAATTTCGCTTACCTATAGTGAATGCATTTTTAATTGGACATTATCTTATGAGATTCATGTTGGAATTTCTCTGCTTATTGGAAAATGTGATATATGGTTGTGATTCGCAAACTTGAAATATAAAGCATCTATAAGAGATTTACTATAAATTATGAATATATTTTTATTTATTTTATTTTTGAAATTTTATATGTAAGCATGCACAATATTTATTTCGATAACTCATACTATTTATTTTTGTTAACTATATAAGATTATATACCTGTATTTAAAGAGTTTTAATATTCTATGCCACAGAAATGGCGATCTTTAAATCAATATACCTTTATTAAATTTTTTAATTTTATTAAAGAGTATTATTATTATTGCAATTTTTATGTAAATATAATTTTATTGATTTTTTGAACAGTAATTTTATCTGTTTATCTAACTAATTCATCAAAAACGAGTTTATTTCTTAATTATCCCCTAGTACCTAAATATATTCGAACAGCTTACATTTTTATGTTAATCTTACTTTTTATTAAATAGTAGCTAATATTTTATTCATTCGAATAAACATTTAAAATCATGAAAATATATGTATAAAAATTCTACATTTACAACTTTTTTCTTTATTAGTTAAGTATTTATATAAATACTATACTATTCAATTTTTGGCTAGTTTTTTCAGCTAACTTTCTCCCTTAAAAAAAATACCCATTCACTTCTATGGCTCTCTGTAAAATATATCCCATTTGTTCTTTGAAAGGGCAATTTAAATAATGTGTGGATATTTTTCAAAGGCCCAATGAGTTAATCTTTTGAAGTGCTTGCTATTTGTGCACACACTCGATATAAATATGGCATAGAGCTCATTTGAGTATAACTCGATAATTATTCATTTGAGAAATATGTTGAAATAATCATTCATCATTTGGTGGAAATGAAAAGCTTGAATAAGTTTTTGCACTTTAAATTCATTCGTGGCCATTTGCATGATGCATTTCCATTAATTTATATAAATTTTATGCAATTACTTTTGTTTATTTACTTGGCCATTACCAAGCTTCGTTCTTTCCATTGCCATTTCCATTTCCACTCCCATTCACTCTCTGCTGTGGCTCCCCCGGCTCTACTCGACTCCATTTGCAGTTCGTCTCTCTGTGTCCTTTTGCTGTTATGCTTTGTCTGTCCAACTGTCTGTGTGCGTGTGTGGATGTGTGTATGTGTGTGCGTCTGTTCATTGTGCAAGTGCATTGTCCTTGCGAAATATTTGGGTCACTTTTGTTGTCGCTGCTCAGTTTCGGCCCCGCCAGCTATTTTATTTTTTTGCCTCTCTGTAGAAACTTAATTTTTTATTGACTTGACAGTGGACAGTGGAGCTGGGGACACAATTTAAGCACGCATTGTTTGCGACACATGTTTGACGTGTACAAATTTAATTTAATTTATTTAAATAATTATGTGCCCGCCTTTGCAAAGCAGCGCCAAATTGCCAGCAACAAGGCCAGAACAATGGGGACGTTATGAGGACGAAAGGGGGTCGTTGAATAAGTTTTAATGATGATTGCTGCAACGTGGCAGCAAACGCGACCAACACACAGACACACACAAACACACTCACACACACACACACACACACACACACACTCAGAAAGGAGACGTCGTGACCAAAACCGCATTTAAATTTGTCGCAGTTGCGTCAATGCATACCTGTACAGGACGACTTTGAGGACGTCGAGGACGACGACATCGGTTAGCGACTTGATGGCCAGTCAAGCAAGCAAGCACAAACTGCCAGGACAGCAACAAGAGACATCACACACACTCACACACACACACGCAAACACAGAGACAGACAGACATAGACGTCCAGCTAGA